ACACACACACACACACACACACACACACACACACACACACACACACATTATATAAAGAGATTTGAGCAAATTTTAATCAAAATAGAAAATAAGAAATAACTATTTGAAATGGTGAAATTTGGACTGTTATTTCCAACATGGTTATTTGAAAATGAAAATAATATCAACTCATTTCTCTAAAGTACAAATATTTCAACAAAAAAGGTAAATTATCATTATTTACTTAATTGACATTATAGCAGAAATATTTTTGTACACAACATATAGCTAGAATTGCGAGAAATATTTTATTTTATTAGCTTTTATCAACAAATTTATACATAAAAAGATACAAGCCAAAATGAGAGAAATACTGCTTACTACAATATGTTGTGTGTATATTGAAAATATACATAAATGGAAAAGATGTCATTTAAATGTCCACCACGACCACGCTAACTCGTCCGAGTTTTATTGAAAACCAAATCCCTGGAGTCCTTTTTGGAAAACCTTCGATTCCAATCTATCCACGCAACAAGACGATTTTTAATAGGACCGCCACGTGGGTAAGAGGCGTCTGCAAGAAAAATTTAGCGCCCTTTTCCATGATACATAATTGGAAAATTACAACAAATATACCATTATACATTATATAATTATTTACATATTAACCCTCCGAGCTTTGGCTACCACAAAATTTTCAATTAAATCACTAATATTTAATGTATCTAGAATGTCATTTTCAGTAGATATAATTGAAAAATGAATTAATCGTTCTGATCTCATTGTAAAACGTAAATAGTTCTTAATAATTTTTAATTTGGACGCCTTTATCCGGTAGCTACCAAAACCGGCAAAGTTACATAAATTAAGTTCACCACTGTATGGCAGTAAATTCAAAAATTTCTTACAATTTCAGATAACTCTATTTTAACTTCCAAAATACCGACAATCGAACTGTCAATATACATATTTTTTTTTTAATATATTTGTCAATATATATATATATATATATATTGACAAATTATATATTTATTTTTATTATTAATTATTAATTATATATATATTTTTTATTTAATTAAGCAATTACAATCAATCCTCATAGAGAATTATAAGAGGTTAGCGTGTTACAGTGGTATGGTTTGTAAGTTTCGGTTACTTAAATTCTAGAATTTGCTATTTAGTAGTATCTTTTAATGTACGTGCGTGAGCTGTAGTGTCTCTGAGGTGGGTGGCAACAGGAACTGTCAATATTACATACTATTTTCAAGCATTAACGATTTTGCAGACAACCTTTCGACAGCCGGACAAGCTAGCTCATTCCCGTCCGGTTCTTACCTCTCCCGAGCAGTTTGAGCTCTCGGTGTTTGAATGATTCATTACACCTTAGTCGTAATGCATAAAAAGTACACAAATTCTTGTGACGATATGGCGTTCCTTCGAAGAAGCGCTCGTGTGCGGTGCACAGCCTGCACAACCGTACGTGGCGGCCCTGATTTTGAATAATCTATTATAAGAGTCTCTACGAAAAATAAGGCACGGAAATTCGAATCCACGATCTTCGGATCCACAGTCGATCGCTTTTACGACCAATCCCGCACCTTACTATTCGTGTTCATGTTTTACTCCTTATTCTTGGATATGGAGGGTGCAATACTACACTATTTGTACACGAACAGGATCGTAGAAGTTTGATCTGAAAGTCCTTTCATAGGCATTGCTGGCACCCGTTAATTATGCTTTCCAAGCTTATTCAAATGATATCGCTTTGAAGATCAATCATGCTTTCAATTACTGGCTCGAAGTACCACAGAATAAACTCGACGAGATCCAAGATTTGATAAAGATACTTTATAATGCTACCTTCATGTAAGTTTCCTAGATGTCATTCGTTTCTAGAGTTCGCTGTTATCAAACTTCACTTCTATTAAATTATCTCAATACTTACAGGCTCGATGATACTGCAGATTCCGGAGCTTTAAGATTCAATGTCCCTGCTGCTTATCATCTCTATGAAATGGCCATTACGATCACATCTGCTTGTATTGCTATTAATATGGTCTATGAAAGAACTCATACTTTGAACCATCCAGAGATGAACTACAATGAGTACTGTTCTTTCTGTTTATGCAATGGTATTCATCTTATTATTATTACAATTAGGGATTGCGTGTATTTTTCGATGCGATGGATCGATTATAGAGAGGCCAGGGTACTGAGATCTACTGGAGAGATAATTATATTTGCCAATCTGAAACAGAGTATAGGCAGATGGCTCATGAAAGTAAGTAAAAAGCTTCTTGAAACGGAGCGTTCGAAGTCTTTTTTTTTTAATCAAACGCGAATAATATGGTTTGATTTTTTCTTTTAATTTTAAATGAAAGCGCACATCATCACAATTAAACGCGATGAAACGTATATTGTTATTGAAAAACACAACCATTAAGTTCTTTTTGGAAAACTCATTAAACATAAGAATTATGAATGACAAATGGATGTGTTACAGAGCTGATTTTATTTTGTTATATGGATGTCCTCCTCAAGCAGCTGTTCTCCAATTGTAAAGAAGACTTTAAACCTTTAATAAAAATCATAAGCATTTACTTTCAAATTTATAATGATTACAGTAATCTATATCCCGGAGAGGCAAGTCTAAGTGAATACATATATTAATTAAACGTATAAAAATAATTCGGAAAGATATGCTTCTTAACATAAACTAACATCATAATTTTAAGTAAATAGATTCTGTTCTATCTTATTTGATAATAGGCAAAAATGCTACAAATCGAAAATGTTTTGTTTGAAATGAAACATACTATTACAAACAAAAAAAGTTCTACTTTTAATTAAATTTTATTCGACAAATTTTTAAAACTAGTATAATAAATACAATTGAAATTTATGTAAATAATACAAATACTCCTATTAATCTATTCGAGCTTAATTTGTTTATAGTTAAATACAGGTTTAAAATAGATACCTTTCCAAATTGTACACATTTAGTTTGTAATAACGAGCAAATCATTTTAATTAATAAGTGAATTTCATTTTATTAGCATGTATTAGTGTTGTATCACGTAATAATGACTTTTATAGGACACAGTGGATGAAAGTTTTGCCGATGACATATCAGCAGGGACTTTTACTTTCCTTATCATACATGCTATACGAAATCATCCAGAAGATCAACAGATAATTCGTATCCTTCTTCAGGTCTAAATCAGTAAGTATTATACAGGAGTTTATAGGAAAAGGGGGGGGGGTGATGAAAGAAAGGAAAAAGTTCAAAGTTTCAAGGATTCAAGAAATAATAACAATCAATTAATAGTTACTGTTTTATCCATTGTCACTCTTCTTGACCTCACGTTACAGTAGATTTACATTTTTTATTTTTTATTTTGCATTCATAGAGTATGTAAAAATGAAGAGAATGTAGTGTCCCTCTCTTTTCTATCCGTTATTGATATAATTTTATTTTAAAGTCATTTTTTTCAAGCAAATACCTTGACATTCCTTAATTATGATAAACAAAGACATTTTGAGGCGACGAACGAAGGATTTGAGGATGAAGCAATACTGCATTAAACTACTAGAACAGTTTGGATCTATCGATTACACAAGAGCTACCCTTGAAAAAATGGATAAACAAGCAAGAGAAGTGATTCAGCATTTAAGAGGGAATTGCACTCTGTGCAATGAGACAATTCTGAAAACCCGTCAAACAGCTTGTCGTTTATACTAGCGCAGTTTACGTAGAGGACACTCCCTCGCTAGCTTTTCGAACAACAAACTCCTTCTCGAATTCAGAGAAAACGGTTTTAGTTTTCACTCCTCGCCGCTACAACTTCTAATTCTTTTGCTCTAAAAATTAATTTAAATTGAAGAAAATGATCTCAACAATTCTATCGACTGTAAATAAATATTTATTTAATTGGCTTGTTGTTGTCTTTAGTTAGCTCACACTTGGTACATGACACTAGTAGACATTGCGTACCATACTTATAAAAATAATATTTATTTTTAACAATATAAATCCCACTATATATAATAATTGTCTGGACGCTACAAGATCCTATTCTATTTTGAGCTGACGTTCTATTTCTTTAAATGCCGATGACGTTTCTTTTTCCGCTGAAGGCTTAAATAAACGAATTACCTACTTTATCTTCAAACTTCGTGCTTTCACCAACGAACGCGTAATGTTTCGACTCACTTATATCTCCTTTACGCTTCTTTTGTTAACATTCCGTCCATTACTTCGATAATATCCTTTCCTGTTGAACTTATAACACACCACACCTTTTGCCTTTTTCTTATTTCAGTGAAGGTTCTTGTTATTCTTTCCTTCCAAGTTTTCATCTTTCTTTTATCTTCTCTTGAAATTGCCAATACCACTGTATTCGTACACCGAACAATTACGACTATAACTTTTAGTGAAATTATAGTATATTAATTTAGTTTTATAATAAATAACGATTATGTCCATGTTCTCGCATATCTCTGGAATGAATATAGTACAAAAAAACATGTAACTACTTTTATCATTTACATATTCAATAAATGTGTGTAGGATTTATTATATGTTACTTTATTTATAAAATACTGACTTAACTATTAACGAAACTAAAATGAATAGAGTCCGCTCAACGATCCGCTCTACGTCTATTCGCGCCGTCTTTACCCTTCGACTGCTCAACTAAATCTGCTCTCAACGCTTCTTTTTTTACTTACCCTTAAAGTTAAACTCTACCCAGGGTCTTTCCCAGGCAGGGGAACGTTGTCCTAGGCGGCCTCGCCGAGACGCGCCTGGACAACATCGGCCCAAGTGGCCAGGTCATAAATTAAACTAAACTAAAGCTACGTTACAATATCCTTATACCTATCCTATAGCTAACGCTCTCTCTCTCTCTTCCTCTCTCACGCACACGCACACATTCCCACTCCTACATGTGTGTTGATGTCAGCATTTATAATGTACAAAAAATTCCATTCGTTCCACTTAAAAAGATGGCTGTGATAATTGACACAATATTGACAGCTGTACCAGAACAAGAAACAGTAGCCTGTTTTTATTTACATCGTATAAAGTCGCATGCCCCCTTAGGGTATTAGCGACCACGTTTGTAGGTACAGGGTGATCTGTTCGCTATTAGACACAATGGACAACCACAACAATAGCCAACCGTCATTGTAGACTATGACGGTGGCCCATACGGTCGCTTTCGTTGCGGGGATCACCGTCATAAAGTCTACAATGACGGTCAGCTATGATTGTGGTTGTCCATTGTGTCTACTAGCGAGCGGATCACCCTGTATAATCGCTGCAAGGATCTTGCGAGGTCGGAAAATCGGTCGGAAGTCGATTTTTACAACTGAAGCTGACTGCAATTAGTAATCTAACACCTTTTTAGACAAGGATAGAGGTAGACTTTTCGTTCAGGACTCGTTAGGTTTCATTAGGCTCAGAAACATGTTTGAATTCGTCAAATCTATTTTAAAAAATATCACCTTATTATATATCATATATATAAATATTACCTAATTTATATTGAATAGTAAGATGAAACATTTTGATTACTTTTTTTAACATTTATTAACTTGTTTTAACTTTTTTAAACATTTATTAATTTTGTTTAACTTTTTTAAACATAACTGTTTATTAATATTTCTATGTAAATGAATAATTGTCGGTTAACGATGATTTGCATTTTCACCATTAAAAAATATCGAAGGAAAGTCGCCTTCGAAACAGCCTCCAATTTTTCTTTAATGTTCAAAGAAATTTTTCAAAAACTTAGTGTACAATTTACATGATACATCTATAAAATAAACTATTTTTTAAGAAAACGCCAAACAAGAAAAGCTTTCGAACTTGAAACGTTGTGTGAATACTGAACATATTGTTCTATACAAAGAATAATTTCTTTTTCTTATCCTTTTTCTTATAATTTTATAAATAACATTTATTCTTATATCTGAAGATCTTATTAAAATTAGAAATAAAAATAATAACCTTACAAATCCGTTGGTTACTTTTTGTATTTTCGGTACTAGGACCTTCAACGTATAAATCTGATGTTCAAACCAGTTAGATTTTTTTATTTGAAATGTTTATTTAACGTTGATAGAATCTTATTACAATATTTGGTAAAAATAAGGATGTCTACATATCCGTAATGCTGTAAGAACACTGTATCAGTCTTTTAAATAGAAGCAAGTACATGGTAATAGTACTTTATCAGATCCGAGGTGCGATTGGACTGCAATACTTGATATTAATTCGTTTATTTAGGTGTAAAGTCGTTACAAATTTAGACTATAGCATGTAATACTTGATATCCAAGAGGTTCATTAACTTATGTTAAATGTAGAGGAAAGTCGGAGATTACAATGTTAATAATAGCTACATTTAAACATAAGGCAAACTCGTAGATTCACGTAAACAGTAGAATAGATGAACTTAAAGAATGAAAAATTGTCTGCTGGTGGATGGAAAACCTTGAAATTATTGACGAAATCTTGACCTGCGCAATTAACAATGAATTAACCATTAGAGCTTATATTGTACTTCGCGCCTCTTCCTCGAAATCAAGATGTAGTACCTTCTACTTTATGCCGATGTCGTCACGATTTCAAAGTTCTAGGAACTTTTTTGTTCCCTCTCAATGGCTCGAACGATCCCAGCTGAACCTTCTTCTTCTTCGTGCCGATAGCGTCACATTTGGAAAATTTGAAATTGATTATAAAATGGGTAAAAAACGGCATTCATCGAGTTCAAGAAGTTCATCGAGTGATGAGTCAGAGCTTCAAAGTATTAAAAAACAGTTAAAAAGATTGAAAAAGCTTATAAAAAAGAAACGGGATATCAGATATGGTAAGTATGTGAAAAAAGGTTTGGCCGTGTTACTAGTCTGCAACTAGTAATATGTGAAATGTAATTGTTATGACAATTGTCGCAATGCTTGATACGGCGGAAGTGGCTCTCGAATCGGAAGTATTACGGGTTATGGGAGATCGACTTATGTCGGGCAGAGTCTTAGCTCCGGCAATACACAAAGATTTAGCGATTCGAATAAAAGAAGTTATTCAAAGGGGTCTGCCGTCAGAGGAACGAAAAATCTTGTTGAAAAAATTTTCTTAAGCAGAAAACTGTCTGTTCATGGATCTGCCTGCAAGATGTAGTAGTGAAAAGAGATTCACGTATCATGAAAAAGCAACAGCGAATGACGGCCAGTTTAGCAGGAATGACTAAGCTAATGGGAATCGTTCTTAACTTGTCAGTTAAAAAAAAAATTGATATGATAGAAATAATTGGTGGCGTGTTACGAATTCTTTCAGATTTATTAAATGAGGAAACGTTTATTCGTAGAAGCTTGATTTTAAAAAATATGGACGCATCAATGCGAGAGTCGTTGAAGTCTGCAAGTGGTAGACGAGTGGCTGTTCGGAAAGAATTTGGAAAAGAAAGTGAAGGCTGTAAAAACATTGGAAGTTTCAAGTAAAAGTCTGAAACCGATATTCCATAATAACCAGGGCGATTAAAAAAACTGGAGGGGCCCGCCACGGCGCTCGAATTACAAGCAGAGATTCAGTGGAACGTCGGGCGGGCAGAAATCGAACAACCAGAAATACCTTTTAGTAGGAAAGTTGTACAACTTGTGCCCCCACCGCAGCCTCGATGGTCTTATCAAGAAGAATTGGTAATATCTGATCAGTTAAATAAATTAACAGATAGAGGTGTAATTGAGGAAGTTAGACCGACCAAGGGTCAATTCATTTCTAATATTTACCTGGTACCAAAATCAGACGATGGGCATCGGTTCATTTTAAACCTTAAATCGCTTAATAAACTTATTGATATGGATCATTTTAAATTAGAAGATGGAAAGATTGTTCAGAAAATATTAGCACGCGGTTGGTTTATGGCATCAATCGATCTTAAAGATGCTTATTACGTGATTGCAATTATAGACTCGCATAGAAAATTTTTAAAATTCTATTTTCAAAAGAGGCTGTATCAATTTGTCTGTTTGCTGTTTGGTCTTAACGTAGCACCATATGTTTTTACTAAAGTAATGAAGCCAATAGTAGCATATTTACGCTCAACAAGTTATGTTTCGGTAGTCTATCTTGATGACTGGCTGTTATTCGGTTCATCACTGCCAGCATGTAATAAAAATGTTGATGTCACATGTAAGTTACTAGAAAGCTAGGATTTATAATTAATTTTGAAAAGAGCCAGTTAATACCGACTCCGAGATCCAAGTTTCAGAGTTTGGTATATGATTCGGAACAGATGTTAGTGGAACTTCCTTTGGATAAAAAGTTAAAAGTCTCTAAGTGACTTGATAAATTTAAGAATATTGGAAAATGTAAAATACGAGACTTTGCATCGTTCATTGGAATGTTAGAATCTTGTTCTGCAACGTTAAAATGTAGCAGAGTTCATATGAGGAAGTTTGAGAGAAAACGGTTCTTGGCACTTAGGAAAAATAATGATAATTTTGAAAAATACATGAAAATTCCAATTTCATTAACAGCAGAATTCAATTGGTGGAGTCAGAACATATTCACAGCTTCTAATTTTATTACACTATTCAATCCAAAGTTAGGATTAATGGCTGTTTTTCTTGCTTTGAAATGTTTTGCGCAAAATTTGAAAGGCTGTGATGTATTATTGAGAATTGATAATACTACGACCATTGTGTACATAAACAAGAAAGGTGGAGTGGGGTTTGCAGA